TTATTTTGGAATAAGAGTGGCATTTATTTGTTTAGCTTAAACTTCTTTCAAAATGAACAAAACTATAATATACTGGAATATGACTTTACACAAGGGGTAATACCAGCATAACTATAGTGCTTTAAAATTCACACCTTAGATTCTACCAGTATAACTTTGCTGCATAGATAATCCCTTAAATGCATGTATAACTTTACTTGTGAGAACTAGCCTTGTGCAGAAAAGTTACTCGTGTACATAAGGGTTTGAGGCCTCTACATTTAATAACTAATTCAATAAAAATTCATAGCAAACTATATTTTTACCTAATGAAGCACGATTCCTCACTTCAAGGTGCATTTTCCCCTCTTGTGCACAAGTACCCTTCTGTAAAATGGGTGTTGTGAAGATTAAGCAAGACCCTGTTCTTTTATCATTGAAGGCATTGGGAAGCACACTCTCTGCCCTGACATTTAATATTTGAGATCCTTACATGAAAAGGCACTTCAGAAGTGAAGTGTAGTTATTGGCTATCCCAGAGCAATGAATTAATAATATAAATTAATAGTACTTTGTCAATCGATGCTCAACATCTTAAATTTAATTCTTGATGTAATTATTGATGCTAAATGATTAATACTTGGCTAAGCTGAACCAATTATGTTGACAAAATACATATTTTTGATAGTGGTGCTGGCATGATGCTCACATCTTTAATGATGATGCAGTCTCACATGGATGTTGACGTATGAGGATTCAGCTCAGACCAATGTGAGTATTGCAAATATCATCTCATGGGACAGATAAGAATGTCCATGACCATTGCAGGCTATTGTAGCCTTGCTTCGTGCAGTTCATTTTTTCACATATGGTGTTAATATGCCTTGCTTCAAAGAGGTTAACGGCAATGTGCCAATTCTGTCCCTACCTTACTCTGTCAGGGGCTGATGCTGCCTAATTGCTGGGATCAACCTGACAGTGACATGCTTTCAAGTTTGACTTCAGTGCGTCTTTATATCGTTTATACCTGCCACCAGAAGGGTGGGTGCCTTGTTTTAGCTGATCATAAAATATGGTTTGAGATGGCTATACGAACAAGATGCCCAGGCAATCTTGACTGCTGGCACTAAACATTAAAAAGGTTGTAGAGCAGTTTTTAAACTAGGAGATGGGGGAAAGCCGACTGCTGCAGAGGAGCATGTGGATCAGAAAGAGACTTCTCTTAGAGGAGAGTCTATTGATAGAG